AGCTGCACAATCTCGAGATGGCCCTGAGATGAGGCGGCATAGAGAGCGTTGCCGTACCGGCCGCCCTGCGCGTTGACGTCCGCTCCCTTGCCGATAAGATCTCTCGCAGGCGCTACGAGCCCAGAGAAGCAAGCATAGTAGAGCCTAGAACCTCGTGGAGGACCTGGGTCACTGTCCCAATCCTTATCAGGCTGATACAATCGAGCCCATCGTTGGAACGTCGCTTCCTCTTCTAGGAACCTGACTGTCGCTCGAACTATATCTTCCGAAGCCTGAGCCAACGCAGCATGGCCCGTCCAGACTTTCGCCGCATATCTTGCCATCGGAAAATCCCGCTTGATTTCGATGTGGCTACCGCTGATATCCGTAAGGTAAGTCAAGCACGTCCTGGTGATGGAAATGCTGGCAGTTGCAATGTTGAACTGGTTCTCTCCCAGTAGGTACTCTTTGACGGAAAAGTGGGCAAGATGTAGCTCTTTATCGGTGGCGTGAACGACTGTCACTAAGTTGGGACAGTAGGCTAAAACGTCCGTCTCGCAAAAGAGTCGACGCTTGACGTCAAACCCTCGTGGCTCATGTTCGATCTGTGTTGCTATTACTTCTTTAGCCTCGGCCAGCTTGAGAGGTCGCTTCGAATGCACTAGAAACTGCAGGAGACGCACCGCGTCGTTTTTAAGCTTCGTCGGTATAAGTTGAATCATGCGACGATATGTCTCTTCCAGGTTCTGCGGCAGAGATGCGAGAGCTTCCTCAATAGCCCTCACATGAGGACATCGAGCCAGGCTGTCCAATTGACAGACCGCCCACCTAAACCTAAGCAGAGCGTCAGCAAACCATCAGCATATCGATTGAAGCAGTAATATCTCACATCCCGTCGGCTCCATTGCCAACCTTGCTCTGGATCCTCTCGAGGAGATCCTGGGACAAGCGCTTGTCCCGAAAATCAGGTCGTTGTAAAAGCTGTGCTGCGACGTACGATCGGATATCGGCGTTGACGGACTCCTTGTCAAGTGCTAAGCAGTTTTCCTCGCCTATCAACGAGGGGATGTTGCGGATGAACTCGGGTTCAGGCCGACCGGTACATATCAGCTGGACGTCGCCCAACTCTGGCCTAGATATTACGTCCTTCATCCACAGGAGAAGTTCACCCCTTGTTGTCGATTCGTCCAAGGCGTCCAGAACAATATAGCGTTTCTGGACTGCAAGCATCTTGCACACAACTTCCTCGAGCGTCTTTGTAGCAGGTTGGTCGCGGCCATCCTGGTGTGCTTGGAATGAGGCCTCAAGAAGACCTGCAAAACCAGTCCGGCCTTGGTAAAGTTGGAAAGCAAGCGACCGCAGCATGGCATCCAAGGTCTGCTTTGTCGTGTCGCTAAAATCAAAGAAGAAGCTGAGGATAGGACGGTCGTTTCCCTCCGTGAGATGATCCAGCACAGTCGCGCTGAGAACCGTCTTTCCACATCCCGCAAGCCCATTCAGCCATAAATGTCGACGCGATCCCGATTGCCACTCCTGGAAGACCGGGTTTTTCAGGAGCCACGCGCCCGTCCCCTCATGGCGGAGCTTCCTCGCGTGGTTGGCGTTTGTAGACGAATCTGGGGGGCAAAACCAGCGCTTGATCATATTGGTACGAAGGTCAGACCTGATGGAATCAGTTGCAGCTTTCGTTGCAACTGTCGTCTGCTGCACGCCATCGATCTGTTGTTGAACTACTCGCAGTCAGGGGGTATTCAAATTCAAATAGTATTCGGTCTAGTGTATTTGCTAGTCTAGCCCTAGTAAATGAAACAAGAACTAACCCAACTGAAGCACTTCCAGTGCTCTCTTGGTCTCCTGGACCTCCGCGGCCGGCACGTACGCCAGGAGCTCCTTGGCATACGCAGCGGCGGTGGCCGAGGCGTAGCGTTGCCATCGATCGTTCTTGTGGGAATCGGCGTAGTCGCAGATCCCTCGGATCACAAGGCAGGGAAAGTGATTCATCAGGCCGGCCGCTTCCATCTCAAAGCAGATGCAATCCTCGCCGACGTCAGCAACAATCCGATCGCGCGCAGCGGCGTCTTTGACAAGTGTGTTGCCGGATGCGATGGTCCCGTAATGGATTTCCGGGTCGGTAGTGTCTCGAGGATCGCGTTGAATCTCGCCAGCCGTGTCACAGCCCCGACAGTCCGGCCCGGGGACGTGGTCGCATGAAGCTTTGAAGAGGTGGTCGTTGTCGGCGCCCTGGTGAGCATAGCCGGGATTTTTCTTGGATCTCTTACCCATCTTCGGGTTCTTCTTCAGCATCTCTTGAAGGAAGCAGGGAACTTCGGGGTTTTCCCGCTCGTGAACGGCCTGGATTTTGGTAAGCGCATTGAGGAGGACCGTCGGAGGCCGCCCGAGGAAGCCCTTGCGCTCACGTTTGTCACCAGACTTTGCTTTGATCAAGTCGTACTGGCAGACGCCGCCCGTGGTCCCATCGGGCTGGCTCACGACGATGTCGCCAAGCCGGATATCGTGGCCCTCGTCCGGTCGGGCGATGCCGCCGGCTATGCCGACAAAAAGGCCAAGACGGATGGATGGCAGAGAGGCAAGCAGGCTCGAGGCCGTGGTCGCAGCCGAGGTAGTTCCGTAGACTCCAGCGGCAAGTGAGGCAATGACGATGTTGTGCTCTCCCACGCGACCCCACGTATAGACGTTCTCGTCAGTTTGGTGTCTAGTGAAACCAGCGGGAGTTGCATGTTCCTCATCGAGCATCGCTTCTGCAGCGGCCCGCTCAACGGGAAGAGCAGTAATCCAGGCGACTGCATAGGAGTCGGGGTTGTCGAGAGCGTTGTTGCATGCCATGGTGCGGAGTGAAGTGCACGAGGCCGTCAGATGGGCGGGTGGACTGATAGGGCTGTGCAGTTCGCCTATGTCGACGAGGAAGCTGGGGTTGAGTCACCCAGGGAGAGGAAGGAGACGTGACGATGGCATATTGTTTATCGCAGTCAGTCGAAGAGCGCAGCCTTGTCAGTCACCATAGAAGGACGAAAGCAAGCTGAGGGGGACCAGGTCGGGGCCAGGCCGCAACAACAGGATCTCGCCAGTTACACACACGCACGTTGGGGGTTGTGATGCTGTGGGCACTCGCATGTAGCACCCTCGAGCCGTTATGCCTGATAAGCAGTTGCCACTCCCACCTGCAGACGCTTTTCAAGCCGACGTTTCTGACGATGGACTCCGCACTTGCCATCCAGCTCCTTGAGCCCGAAGGACAATCAAAGCCGCAACGCGTCCATGACACGATCGTGACCGGCTCCAGTCGCTCTGACGCGCATTGTACCACAAAGAATCTGGGTACTTGAACTCCACGACACCCAATGTCACGGCCAGTGTCGAGAGGGAGACGTTCCTCCGAAGCACTGATTAGCGCCAGGACCTGGCTCAAGATGTGAACCTGTCCATGCCGCCACGCCTACTGCACTCCCCCTGTACTTTCTCAGCTGAAGGGCATTCGTCACAGAGCCGGTTGGCATGTCTCATGTCGGGATGACAAGTCAGGTATCCCAATCTGATCCTTGACTCTACCAGTGCGAGCTTTGCCCGCAGTCGCTTGAATTGCCGCACGCCACCTTCACTATGCACGCGGCCCGACTACAAGGCTGGTCAGAATCGGCACAGCAAATTCTCCTCACGACAATGTGGCTTGGTTGGGAAGCGCAGCAGTCCAAACCAATATTGCCTTGACGGCGATGTGCGTTCGGCTTGCAATGCAACCATGTCCTTCGTGCGTAACCACGCCTTCCAGCCTGCGACATAGACTTCTGCAAGTATGGCCGGAGTAATCCCGGGAATGGAGGAAGCGGCCTTTTGGCAAAGTCGAAGAGACATGCACAACAATGCATTGTGTCCGGAAACTCCAGATCTACCCTAGACTGTGATCCGCCATGTGGTTGGCCTCGAAGGCGCACCATGTTCGATTAGGTGAGTGCTGCGGGCATCGGAGGACCAGCTGGATGTTGGGTGACATAGTGAGCGTGGCGGAAACGCGTTTTGTGCGTATTCGGATTCTTTATAGCAAATACAATCCTTCTATGCTGCAACAGAGTGATAAAACAACGGATGGGATTGTCAGGGAGGAAAGCCCATGCGAGGGCAAGCTAGTTTTCTAACAGAAGTTAGACAACAACAATAAGACACAAAGGTCGTGCTACCCATGGGCGCAATACTAACCATGAGAAATGGTGCGATCCAGTTCACAAATATGCTAAAGCAAATCTGTTTCCACACTGCTCTGAGCGAAAGCGACTCGTGCAATGATTCATATCGTACCTTGCACAGGATAGGATACGTCATCACTAGCAATCCAACGGCTTTTAAGACAAGAGTTAGTGGGCATTGTCATTGAAATCTGAAATTTGTCGGGATGGGTGAGTTATACCTACCAGTACTGACACGCCGCCTAGTGTTCGGGACAAATTTCCCAAAATGATACCAAGAGCCACAGCCAAAAAAAAAAAAAAAAAACCTAAGTGCCAGAAAGCGATGGAGGAATCCGAGCCCTCTAAATGTTGATAAATCATGCTCTTGTTTTCGCGAGCCGCTATTGTTAGCAAAGGCATTCTCGATGTCTGTCTGACCATCGCTGCCAAGAGTTAACTCTGCTCGGTACGGACGGAATCATACTGACGCAGCCAAGCCCAATGCTCAAGGCTCAAAATCACTCGTCTTTGTCACCTGGCTCGTCTTGGGATTCTGCGATTACGATTACATCCGTCACTCAGCAGCGTGAGCAGCTGCGAGGCATCGACGACGCGAATTCGTTCAGAATTCCATTCAGCGACTCTGGCGAGCTCCCCACGAGATCTAGTCATGAGAAGCTCGACATCGACTCGGCTTTACAACTTCCTCCACCAGGCAGCCGGTAGCTGCTGGGCGGCAGGAACCGAAGAGAACTCCCGCACCCGCCTTTGAGGCGCATGAGAGAGCACTGGATGGTTTTGAGAGACGTAGGGCAGTGCGTGGGCTTGAACTACTGGTAGGGGCTACTCCATTGTGCTTCGAGCGTTCACCCCAATCTCGTAGCAACCGCTCATCGGGGCATTTAACGGGGGCAAGTGCGACCATAAACTCTACACTGTAAACATTTCCCCCACTTGGTGCTGTTAGCAGCCGTTAGTGGGGAGGGCGTATACAGGCCAACTAACCATATTCCTTGCCTGAGATCTTATCATGATCCTAATAGCACAATGGAAGAACTTTGGAGAGTTCATATTCCATTGCAAATCTGATTCTGGAAACAAATCCACGCGATCTCTGCTGGGAACCTTCGAAGTTACAGTTTGGCTGTCTCTGGGTGCACGCGAGAAAGCCACGGCCTAATTGCGGCTATTTTCGTTCGTCGACGCGTCAACACGCTAACTTTTATTGTGCGAACCTCACAACACGTTACGGCCCCAGTACGTGAAAGGGAATGTCGGCCCTTATCGCATACGCTCCTGGATGGAAATGGATTTGGGACTCCATTTTCTTGCCCGGCAAGGGTTTACGGAATGGCACAATCGAGAAGGACGCGATGGAGACGCCGCGTGGCAGGAGAAATGGATACGGCCGCCGCCAATACCAACAACACTGAACACAACTTTTAAAAACAGCATCATCCCCATCAGTAACGCGTCAACACCGCCGAAAGCCAGTCATCGAACCTCATGAAACACCAAATATTACAGCCACAGTACTGAAGAGGGAGTTGTGCCCCTACTTCAGTACGCAACACGATGGAGAATGGACATGGGTACTCCATTTGTCCTGCCGGACAACTGTTTACGGTGTCGGAGACTGAAGTGTACGCGATAGAGAGGCGAGTCGATGGGGATGGATGACCTTCAACAACAGCACCACCAACAGCTCAAAACGTATCCCCACGGACACAATACCTTCTACCTATGTGTTAATGCAGTGCGGAGCCAAATTCAAGAACCTCACGAAACAACAAACATACAGTACAGTATTTGAATGGAGTGATGCCCTCCCCCAGATACGCCCGTTAATGGAAAGTGAATCTTGTCTCTTCATTTTCTTGCCCGCCAATAGTTTACGGACCTACAACTGGCAAAGTACGCTAGCACACGAGACAGAAAGGAGGATATGTTCAAACAAACTGCTTTAATGAGAGGTACTTCACAGAGTTGTGCTATTCAACATAGTCACACTCAGCGCCACAAACACTCACACAAATTGATAACAACACCGCCAACAGCTCAGAACTTATCTATAAAAACACGATAGATTCCAAAACTCACGGTCAGCCTGCCTCCCTTCAATTAACGTGTCTAGACACGTCAATCTGCTGTGATGACGCTCTGGCGGAGGTGGGCTGGACATGGCCCGAGAACAGCACCAAGCATGTCACAAATCATACTACTTCTACAATTATGGTCACATCGGCACTCGAATAGCGCATTCCAAGCACGGTTATTCTAGCGGGTGTCGCTCAAGTGCTGGTAATAAGGACGTAGCGAATGCTGGTATCTGTTGACTACCAGCAGTAGCACGTCAGCGGTTACCAGCACACTAGGATACCAGCAGTCAAAGCTGGTTGGTTACTGGCATCTATTGGGCGGAACGTTGTAGGTGCTAGTAGCGTAGGTCTACAAGTTCGTGGTAAAAACCTTGTCCCTACTAGGTGTACGATTTAACTCGGTTGGTGGTAGCTCTAGGCCCAGGGTAACAGTAGCGGCACCTCGCACTTACGCACACTGGTTCAGCTTATTTAGTATAACACCTCATGTTTTCAAGTCAAGTAGTTACATCCTGCAGAGTCTCGTCTTCGATTAGAGCTGCGTCTTGATTGTTGCAGGGCTTGGCAAGTTTGCGATACAACTCGATACTCTTGCCACAGCATACTGCAGCTCTCTCACAAAGTCATCTTTCTTTTGTTTCTGTGGTATCCAACGTTTCCTCTTCCGGTTCTCATTAGGCCCAATGGAGGCCAAAGGCTGGCGACCGTGGAACTCCGCGCGCTCGAAATCCACAACCATCAACCCACGACTTGTTGTATTATATAAAATGTTGCGAGGCTCTGCGTCATGATGGAGAACACCCAGATTGTGTATTGCCTTGAACGCCATGGAAACGGCACTGCCGATGCCCGCTTTCATGGCCCGGTCAACACAGTCAAAGATCGGCTGTCCAGCCCAGCTGAGGAACATGAAGTGCGTATAAACCCCGCTGTCATAATAGTATGGTCGGACCAGGCCAATAGTGCCGAGGCATACCGGGACATACTTCCCTTGGATGGGCTGGAGTCGGTCATACATATTGTTCTCGTGTTGCAGGCAGGCAAGGTCTAGGCTCTCCACGCCCTTGGCAACTAGTGTATAGCCGTGAGACGTCAGCCGCACCTTGAAGAGTGACCCACGAGAACCAGATCTATGGAGCGGCACGCAATCCGCATCCCGTCCGCGGTCTACAGCAAGCTGGTGTCGCACGAGCCGCAGAAACTCTAGTCGACTAATGCGCTTTTGCCCGTGATAGCCTGCGTTGGGGCAGTTTTTGTCCATAGGTCCTCCATATGCTAGTCCCAGGAGACAACGTTGGGTACAAAATGGCCGGCTTTGTATATCCGGCTTTTTCCCTGGACCTGACTCTTTCTGTTGGCCTCTGCGCCGTCCTTGGTTCCTATTACCCAAGCTCTTGTCCGCTGAAGAGAACGCTTTTCCACCCGTGCGTGGATTCGGCGTAGGAGAAGGAGGGTCCTCGTCATCGTCCTCTAGTCGTCCAGCGCTTGTGTTCGGTTGCTGGCAGCTGGAGCGAGTACGAATTGGCGATCTCCGAAATCCCTTCCAACGCTGTGGCTTATAAGGGGAGGCACGTGGTTCCTTGCGTTTGCGCTCAGACGGCGGAATATCCCTCAGAATATCGTCGTACTCGACAGCCCAGATACCAAGCGTCTCAGCCTCATCATGCCACGTCTCAGGCGGTGGTCTGGCGCGGAGAGACTGGAGAATGAAGGCAAAAACCTGCGCGACAGCCGTGCGATGGAGCCTAGTCTCATCATCGTCCATTACGTCTAAATTTGGCACGCATACCGAGAAGTAGACTTTGGTAGGATCGTCTGGAATGTGAAGGAAGATGAATGCCTGTCCAGTGCATACATAGCCGTACTGAATGCCTTTGCCGATCATGTAAGAGAAGAGCTGCGTAATGACGGCGGCGGCGAGGCGTCTGGCCGTGAAAGCAAAGCCGTGGTCAGTCTTGTTAATCACATCACGTTCCGGCTGAATTTCCGCCCCAAGCCCAGTGGTAATCTCATCAAGACTTAGCTTGTGCGGTGCCTTGTACTCGATAGCGACAGCTGGGGCATTTTGGCCGTCTGAAGTTCTGTATATGCAGAACTGGTCTGCCCGATTTCCTTTGCCTCTCGCTCTGCGACGAGCCTTGGGAGCTGGCGGCGGTTTCGGGGCAGTCACCCGCACTGCAGCATCGGCGCCATCTCTGCCCAGCGACATGTGTTCCATGGGCGCAGATATGGCGTCATCAGTCGTGCCTAGATTCGTATGACTCTCGAACGTCACTGTCCCCTGGAGACCGAGACTATTTCGTAGCGATGGATCTGTGTGTGCTCGGTCGACCAACTTCTGAACTGCGTTTTCTACTACATCGCGCTCGAAGTCCCGGAGCCCAAGTTCACTGCTAATAGGCTTGAGCAATGACTTGACGTATTCCATCTGATGGTAAGATGGAAATGAGGGTTTGGGGAGCAAGTCGCTGATAGAGAGATCGTTCCAGATTTCTTCTTGTCTCATTGCAAAGCTGTCCCAAGGGATGATTCGTCTAGGAAAGATGCGACCGGTCGGATTCGTGGTTTCTCCTTGCGTAGTCAAAGATCGGTCTGTTACGACGTCAATAGAGAGATCAAGCGAATGGCAAGCCTCAAGATACCGCTGAAGGTCCAGTGGCAACGAGGCTTTTGCCAATTCTTCAACTTCTTCGCGTCGACGTTGTTCTTCTTCGCGTCGACGTTGTTCTTCTTCGCGTAGACGCTGTTCCTCCCGAAGTAAACGGCGCAACTCTTCGATTTCGTCCATTGAGATTTCAAGAAAGGCGGCGGTGAATAGGACAAGAGCTTATAGTTTTCAATTACGAAGAAACTGGCGGCATGTATTTGGCAGGTTGGTCAATCGGGGGAATCGCGTGAGGCGGCCTAGAGCCCTTGTTATGGTTCGCTCAACACTAAACAGCCAACCCCACTATTACCCGCCAAAGTCCAATGTCCCGCTCCAAGTGCGGTAAAAATACCACACAGTCTGTTCAGACAGAGTCCCATTCTGAAACGTGATTGGCCTCGGTTGCCGAGCCACACCTGATAGCCTGCATACAGCGCGAAGACCACAATTGGTCCATGGCCACGTCATAGAGCATTTCTGAGTCCGGCGGAACAACTTATCCCGCTTCAACCGCACAACTTGGGCGCCCCCGAAGTTGCACACAACTCATATAATGAGGGGAGACGCAAGTTTCCGCCTAGGTTCTGCTGCACCTTTTTCGCAACCATCCAATAACCCACGAACTCCATTGACGATTTGTCGTCATCATGACGATGAGCTTCTCACAAGTAGAAGTTATAGTCCGCCAAATGCAAGCTTTATGCGACAAAGTTCAGCAATCCAGGAATCTACGCTGCTCGAAAGCCGAAAGATTGGCTTTTCCAAGATTAGTGGCTCAACTGGTAGATACAGCCAACACCTTATCACATCATCTTCTGGACCACATCACCATCAAGGCGCCAAATGAAGCTGCCAAAGGAATTGTTGATAAATTCAGATTATCTTCTTGCAAATTCGATGCATTCAACAAAAGCCTTCTCAAGAGGAATCTGAATTTAGTCTTCCTTGGTCCTCAAATCTCTGCTCTTGATTCTAATCAAGTTAGGGCAAGAAAGAAAACGACGCAACACAGGTGCAATGTAGTTGGTGCTTTAAAGCCTAGTCATATTGTCCTGTGGTCGGTAAGCCTTCCGCCATCAGCGTGGGCTGCTGGCGACATGTCACAAGAGACTTTTGGTTACTTGATCCAGGAATTGGGGAAATTGCCATTGACGGAGTGGCCAAAGGAAGTCACCGACTCGCTCTATACCTTGTCATCCGAAGAGCCATTGAGCAATAACGACAAATTTGGTGCTTTTGCAGAAGGTATGTGGTCTCTTGATTATGACGGCAACGCTAGAACTAGAACTAACATGCAAAGCCTTTACGTCTGATTTATCTTCAACCGCTGGTTATCGTGCTAATGAGAGTTCTGGTCCAAGTCCATCTATAACGGAGACGGGGAAGAAGCGGAGGCTGAATGACATCAGTGAGTATAATTTCTTCATCTCGACCGCCCTAGCAGAGAATGCTGATCCGTGACGAAGATTCAGCAGGGCCAAAGCCTTCCCTTGCATCACATGTCGCCAGCGTAGACATTCCCCCAAACGAGAAGAATACTAGTCTTGCTCACTATGCCGACGCCAGCAGCGTCAAAATGGCGAGAATGGCCAAATTAGAGAGATTGGAATATGTTCTCGGAGACTACCTTTATAGTGGCATGATGGCAAGCCGCCTTCGAAAAGGAGAGGTGGATAGACGAATCATGACTCTGACGGACGCCGTTCGTTTACATCTGGCATATCAAAGCGGCGAGGATTTCAAGTTAGAGGTATGGCTATGTGCTACGGTTGGGAAAGCCGTAGTCGAGGCGAAGGCCGATTCAGTTGAACGTGTGAGAAGCGTCCTGGGTGACTATCTCTTTGCCGCAACGTCAAGTAGTAATTGGTGGAGGCAAAGGGAAACAGAGGGGACTCATCTTAGCGCTCTCTATGTCTCATTCCCTCACAGCGATATTGGTGACTGTAAGTTTGATATAATGTTGAATTTCGAGACAGGTCGCTGCTTATTGGATGAACTTTACCCTAGCTAGGTTTTACCGACTAGTTTGAACACCGTATCCATTACCAACACATTCTGCCCTCTTGGAAGAAGTACATTTTCGGCGTATGCTGCCGTTTTCTGGAAAGTAAGGTCGCCCACGCCTATTCCGATACGTCCGGCCCCACCTTTCCATGACATATTTCGATCGTAATCAACTGAGGGGAACATGTGATATCCGATGGATTCAAAGTCCCCGTTGTTTGTCTGTTCGGCCTACAGTCTGTCAGCGGCTGGTAGCGGCTAGAGTAGACTTGATAGTGGTACCTCGGGCATTGGACTTTTCGAACTAGCGATAGATTGAACTTGGTGAGAAATACGCAGCCTTGATGTTCGGCTCGCGGCCTGTATGTAGACCTTGAGCTACTGTGGACCGCGATACGTCAGTGTAATGTCCACAGCCCTGCTAATGACAGATTTGGAACCTACTGAGAATTCGCCTGAACAATCGCCTTAACCTGTATCGAAGCCTGACGCAAGGCGGGCAACGACCAGTTTGTAAACAAAGCTTTGCGATACGAAATTTCGCGCACAGCAAGTTGGGTATAGTGCGGCAATGTAGATATGGCAGTCGCTATGATGTCTCCAAAAACGGCGCAAATGGGGGGCCAGAAGAATGGGGCTTAAATTTCTGGGCATGTGACTTCCTGCCAAACGACCCGACACTGGCCGTGTAGCCTAACGTTAGGCACCATCTTCTGTAAACTCAAAGCCTTGCGATTGAGAGAAACGGGACGCGTCGTACCAAATATTGTTTGACATATTTGGCGACTGGTAGTCAAAAGTCTGAGCTGGACTTTGCCCTGAGCGAAACTTCCCTCCTCGGTGATTGCCAGACCTGAAACATTATATAAGCGTAGAGTGGGTCGGTCAGACTTCTCGGGCGGTCCATCAGTGTTGAGAACCAGACGCAGGACTTCGGCGGAATATCCTATAACAAGCTAACCGCCGTACTTGGGAAGTCTCACACGATCACAGCCAGCGCCGAGATGCGGCCCATTTTCTATTGGCTCGGCATCTCAGGTTATGACCAATCATTTCGACTTCGAGACATGCGCGCCGCCATCTACGCTGCTTCCTTGTTCGGCAGGGGGAAGTGCGAGAAGGCCTATGTTTAATTTGATGGATGCTTCCACGGTACAGACTGTAGATGCGTGCGGTGACCAGTTGTGCGTCCCGAGAGCTGATGAGAATATCTATAAAAGGCTCGCTTTGTCTAGCTCAAGCTTCACAATTGAGTCAATCCAATTTCAGCACATGGCAACAAGATATCGACAAATCTGAACTCGCATTTTCGTTGGCCTTTCCTCTTTGCACTTCAATAGACTTGGGTTTTGAGCAACCTATAAGTTCTTACTAGTCCAAATAACTTGGCGCGCGGTGATACAAAATCCTCCGTTATCATTTTCAATCGTCATTGACGCAAGATGTCTGAGCCCAACGAGTATGTCAATTTGGTAACCTGCTCTGCCATGCCAGCATCACAACATGAATCTGTGGCAGAAGGCTGGTGGATGAGAGACAAGAGCAAAAGCAACAAGAAGGGATGCGGACCCACGGAGGGCCTGCAAACCTATGATCAAGAGACCGCCGAAGCGTATGTAATAGCTAATTGGTAAAGTATCAGACTTAGAACATGCTGACCAGAGGAAATCAGTGTTCCTTCAAATCCACCCCATCATGGGTATGGCATTCCCTCCAATGAACCGTTGCCCGCAACTCCATCGGGTGTTGCCGAAGTTCCTTGTCACAAAATATCCACGACTGAAAACTTCGAGGAAGCTCCTGCTCAGTTGGCATCTGGTATTCATGAACTCGACATTGGCAGCGGACAGATCTATAAACCCCATCCTAATGCCAACACTGATTGGGGGGACTTGATTCTTGGACAGAGCAGTGGGCCGTACTCTAACACGTCCACATCTCCATTGGGAATTTGGGATACTAGCAAGGACGTACCCGCAAGTTCTCTCCTTGAGATGTGGACTGAGGAAGATCTGCTGAAGTTTGGAATTCACGAGGGCATGGACGTAAACCACGGCCTTCCGCCTTTCGACGAGAATGTTCATGAATATCACACAGCAAAAACAGCATCTAATAAGAGAAAGTCTGATGATGGTATCCACGACTCTTCTACCCACAAGCCTAGTGCATCATCAGTTGCTTTAGGCAACCGAACCGAGACCTACGGGGGCATAAACGTGACATTTGGCCTTCCTCCATGGATCGAAACTAAGTTCAGCGAGACAGGAGAAACGTCAGAAAAGAACAGCAATCAGTACCATCTTGGCGCACCATTCGTCCAAGTTTCTGGCCTTTATCCAACTCCACCACGCAAAGATACGGATTGCAAAGCTTTGCGGTCTGTCTCGTTGAGTGCTGTTGGTACCCCCACGGTGGCAGAATCCCGCACTCTACCTCTTGCAGAGACCAAAGATACTGCAGCAACAGGGGACACTGACATCGACTCCCCCTGCTCTCGCAAGATTCCTAGCGCCTCTGAACGGCCGGAGTCTTCATTTGCGCTACGGGATGTATCGGTGATTCCTTGGACTGACTGTTACCCCGACGATCCCGATAAGGCTAGAGAACTTGCAACAAGTACCGGTGTTCCTGGACTCCAAATCTATTCTGTGGATTTTTTTACAGATGCTACTTCAGACACGCAAGTTCTCGATGAAGTCGATGCTACTCAAGATAGTCACAACTTCAGGGTCGAAATGGAACCCCAACCCAATGATTCCGTAAGGGCATCGAGCGTGACTGACTCGGAGCGTGCTGATGAGCCTGGTTGGGTAAACGTGGAAATAGAGACAGAGAATCCGGACCAAACGGACAATGTATAAGGAGAGTTGTTGTGTCCGTCATCAGTATAAGGGCACTATCTATTGAATCGCGACATCTCATTTCGTATGACTTTGTTTTGTTAGCATCCACTCATTTAGTTGAATATATATACCAGTATTTCCTCTCGACAACATGGTCTGGGACACGAGATTCACGCTGTGTGGCTGATAAGCAAGGAACATAAGCGAGGATGATGTTGCCAATGAGGAGTACCATAAACTTATCTCACAGGCCACATGGCCGCATGAGCGGAGATTTGGAGGCATGACGAGGCCTTGGTGGCAGAGCTACGAAGTACGTGATGTCGAGTACGAACGGGTATATAAAGGGGTCCGCCCCCTACGATGCTGCATGAAATTTTTTGACCTTTTTTCATCGTCCCTCACAAATTCGCCGTCATCGACTTGTAAGTGGCGCTGGTGGCCATACCTTGGATTCCTGTAAGTTTGCCAGGAGGTAGGTCGGGCCCCCTTACCTCGATGTTAGTCACACGGACGGACTGACCGAGTTCGTGTGCTTTCACCTCCATAGCTTCAACCTTAGCAGACTCTCTAGAAGCCCTCTTTTACACTATACCGGCATGATGGCACAAACTGCGGGAGTCTGTTCCTTTCTAGGTCGTCCGTGGACTTTGGAGGATGTGATATCGATCCCGTCCGATTCCGAATCTGACACAGATAGTGATGTCGAGGTGGTGGAACAAGATGTCCCGCGCGTGCACTTGGTACACAATCAACACCGTGACGACTCACTTCCTTCTATCTCTGAGATTATGGCGTCACTGATTAACGTCAGACATGATCCAACAGAAGCAATCGGTAAGCAATTGCAAACCAAATTCCAATGTCCGGCAATGCCTAACAAGATCCTAGGGAGCTCATCTGAGGATGTTTGCTTACCAGATGAGTGGGAAAGTCCCAATTCATTAACCTCAAACTCTTCGAGAGAGGTGATTTCCCCCTCAATGGCTCTCGAGAGTCCGGGGGTCACCGCCGACTCTAACATGTTGGTGTCTCCGCCAATACAACAACATGATGATGGAGCAAGCGTGGTGTGGCCCACTCCTATCCGAAGACCTTGTGTCGTCTCAGCGGCCTCCGAGTGTTGTTCAGTGCAGTCCACAACTGCGTTGCCTCCGAGGGATGAAGCACTGCACCATGAGAAAACAGATCCTCCCAGCCGATCGGCAACCAGCCTCGTCCAGCCTTCTCAATCGCAGAATTGCAGTGCCCTGTTTTCAAACCGGTTCGTCCAAGCTCATAGCATCAATATTGGCCATGGCCGTATGGGTGAAGTAGTTCCGCGAAGCGACAACGAACTGCCCAGTGTAGCTCGACCCGCCTCAGTCAAAACACCTCCGTCGGGATGCAGCCACCCAGTCTCGCATCGAGGAGCTGTGATGGAGGCCATTCGGAAACACCAAGCCCCTGATGATATTTCGCCCCTGAGTTCTTGCCCTACCTCGTCGCCAACTGGCCAAGGACGGGACGACGAGCGCCAGACAAGCATCGATGCAGGCGGCACAGAGAGCCAGCTGGATGAACCCTGCGAAGAAACGGAAAGCGACCAACTAGTCGTCGTGGTTCCGGAAAACCTTACAACCTTCGCCCTCTCCCGCCCAAAAGGCAACTCACCGCGGAACAACAGGACGGCGGGATTAACGAAAAGCTTATGCCACAACGCAAGCGTCGCAGGCTTGTGTTCCGTCAGCCCAAGAAGCGTAATTCACAGCAACGTTCGGACCGACGTTCGGACATAACGCGAAATCGAGAGACACGCTTGCTGAGGAGCACGACAAAAAGCAACGACAACGAGTCTGTTGCAAACAAAAAACGGCCTGTTCGTTCCGGTGTTGCCAGCCGGTCCTAAGATGCACCAGAGAGAATGGCACTGCGATGTTCCAGCTACACTTTACCAGTGACATTTTGTGGAATACGCTGGTTGCCCAGAACGATCCAGCCCCAAAAGGTCACCAGACACCAAACAAACTCGAGGATCGGAGACCTAAAGCCGGAAAGGTGAAATACCCAAGTGTCTGCCGCGACGTTTACGGAGTGGATTGCCTGCTTGCTCGGTGGAGGCGACACACTTTCCTGGTGAAATGGTCTGATGCCACCACGACGTGGGAGCCGAGAAAACACATCATGGACGAGGGAATGCTGAATAGCTTTGAGGCAAGTTGGCGAGGCTTTGACGCGGGCCTGGACGTTTTGAAAGCCCGACAGAGAGCTGGAAGACGCCAACACCTTTTACGTTGGCATGGTCGGCCGTCTAAAGAGGATACGTGGGTATACGATGAGTTTCTGAGTCCGCAGTTGATGGAAAGGATTGAAGCAAACGAAAGAAATGGCCCTTAGTTTTGAAACTCCGGTTCGGTGGTTACGCACTTCTGCCACAAATACTCTCATTGAAGTAGCACGACGATACTTACCTTGTTGTATCCAGGTAATCAATATCTGCCGCGTTAGGCAGTTTCGCTAGTTAGCTTATAGTGCATTGGTGTCAGTCGATAGTCTGAATGCGCATGCTTTAGTGTTTCTGAAGCGTCCTTTCATTTAATTGAACGATCTTTGATACATTTTATGGTAGTGGCTCATATATTCCGAGGCGAATGTGAGAGAGCAACTGATGGTTATGAGCTCCCAGCTGCAGGGCAGTGCCGCGGTTTATGGCAGGCGTGCTTAAAATACTGGTAGCGACTACTTCATTGTTCCTAGTGCATTTGACCCAATCATGTAGCTACTGCAGGTACCAGCAACAACGCGCCCAGAGCTACCACCAACCGCTAATCGGACATCTAGGGGGGCCAAGGTTACCACTAACTTGCGACATGGGCTACTAGCACCTACAACTTCCCCCCCAATAGGTGCCAGTAACCAACCAGCTTTGACTGCTGGTATCCTAGTGTGCTGGTAACCGCTGACGTGCTACTGCTGGTAGTCGAGAGGTACCAGTAGTCGCTATGGCCTTGTTACCAGCACTTAAGCGCTACCAGCAATTACTACATGGCTGTTACAGGTAGCCATTTATGCTGGTAGCTTTCCTAAATGTCGTGACTGGTAACCTACCAATGCACAATGGAAGGATGCCAGTAACCGCTGTGGCGCATCTCGAAGTGACTGGTAACCACACCAGTTAATTCCGGTGGGGCCAGGCACGTACGCCGCCAAATTACCAGTACCTCAAGGGCGGTGAACCTCTCAGGTCTGCTACTGCTGGTGCGGACTCCACTAGTTGCTAGTAGCTTCCAACACAGCTGCCAGTAGCTCATGAGCGTCTACAGGCCGCTACCAGCACGTTGCACATAAGCACTGGCAGTAGCCGGCCACTACCAGCAGCCCTACTACACTCGCTACTGGTACACCGCAGTTACCACCAACCTGCCTGTCCGGGATACTGGTAGGCAGAGAATGCTAGCAACTTGCGTCGCTGGCCTGCTGGTAGCGGCGTCATACCAGCACCTGAGCCACCAAGGTTACTGGTCATCTGGCCAAGCTGTTACTGGCAGCCCTGGCACCAATGGTATTGGTGTTACTGCTGCTGGTAGCATTGCTCATAAGTTAGTGGTAACTTCGCCTGCCCCATTGCCCTAATACACAAGGTGCTCAGCCTGGTTGCTGGTATTTTAAGCAGCGTGCCCAGTTGTCTTGTCCACTGAGGAGGCCACAGAGCCGTTGCTGCCAGTAGAGTCCTGCTATAGCTAGGCAGTTGAATGTGCACATCATTAGTACGCCAGCCAGGCTTGTGAGCTTGTGCCCAATTAATGATGCCTTCACAATACAAGTCAATCCAACCTATCTATGACACGTTGGTGCTTCTCTAAGGATTACGACGAGAACAATTGTCACTGAATTAAATCACTAACGGGTATTTTGAGGTGTTTAATCACATGGCCTATCCTATACATTCGTTTTCTCCCAAAATACAGTAATATCCTATGTCCACCACACGCAAATATAGCCCTCCTAATCCAGGTTTCGCAATAGAACCTGATACAAAACATACACAGACAGAGATAGCAGCATCCACACCCCAGACACCACACCGCTAATACAGGCCGTGATTGACCATTGTCCGTCTTGCACAGAGTAAACATTCACCAAGGTTGAGAAAAATCCCGTCAAAGAGTGAAGGAACGTAGGGCTAGAGGGATGTTAGTGAAGGCCAGTTTGTCACAAATGCAAATGAAACACGCACACGACAAGACAGCGACATATCCAAACATAGTTATGACGCCATATCCACCAAAGCAAAAGCATGCCGATTGTCGCCAAAGCGCATGCTACGGACGCGATGATTGCGAGTGGCAGATGGCGAACGGTGTCGAAAATGGATTTTCCTACCCCTGCAGGCACTTCCAAATCACGGACCGAGGCGTACGTAGATGGGGAGATAAGGAAACCCGCCAGCAAAAGCCAGGAGAAAAATCCAGCAAGAATGAAGTAGATCAAGGCTATGCCTCCCTCTGCCTCAAGAACCATTTTCTGGTACTGTGGCCGATGGGATTCATACTGGCGTTGGACTCGAGTTTTGCACAGACGTGCTGTGAAGAAAGACTTCAGTTGACTCATTTGAAATGCCATGATAAAGCATGGGTTGATGCATGGATACCATTCTTGTGACTCGACCTATGTTAAATACGATGAACTGCAGTTGGTGATCATCATACAGCTAGACTTAAGCCAAAGATGCTGGCCGTTCTGGGCGGCTAGTCCAACTAAAGATAATACAAGTACTGGTCTGAAAGGGCCCGCAACCTTCAAAGCCGTGGAATCACTATGATCTCGTCGACCCTTGAAGTCACGCCAGTAAGCCCAGGGAGACGCAAGTGCATCTGACAAGTGCGAAAAGCTTCGCGGAAAAAGTTGTCATGAATTAAGAAGATAAGCAATACGGCGAGCTCTAAAACGATAGTTACAGCATAATTGCGGGTGCGGTGGCCGTACCACTTCGCAGTAGCCTACCACCCATAATTTTCTCACCATGGCGCCTGCCTCGAGTCCGCTCAGCATCGGTGACGCGACGTTTGCTAGTCAATGTCAACCTTTGACCTTTCTCTCACCTCTTCTTTTCCATTTTTTTTTCGGGTGGGCTAAAATGGAAGAAAGGGTTATCTCACCTCGATTAAGGTTTCTTTCTGGGGCAAAGATAGAGAAATATCCTGATTAATGCGTTAAAAATGGTTACTACCATTAAACTTAGTGGCGACTTAATTCTAGGAGTTAGTGACACTAGATTTAATGTGCTCTGGTCCGGAGGCCAAAATATAAAAAAATCGATACGTGGCACCTGTAGCAATATTCAAGTTTTTCACATTAACTCGGATTACGAATCATGACAGATTTCGATATTGAGGAGCTGACCAGGGCATTTGCACTGTTGTCGTTGCACGACGACGAAACTCCATGTCACGTAGCAAACAAGGGAACAGGCGACAGTTCCATCTCCCACCCCCCCATGTTCTTCCGGGCACAAACACTCAATCCAGAAATGCACCACCCAACAGGCCAACTCTCGCGTCCTGCAACATCATTTGACAATGATGGGGATATCACTATGCGTAACTTCTTAGCATGCACGTAAGCTCCTTCTAGGATCCAACTAATTGCAAAATATCACAGATGATCGATATTCCTTCGCCACCGGCTCATCACTTCTGCCTCTTAGGCCTACTCCTCGCCCGCCGACGGCAAAGGCAGAGCTTACCAAAAGCCGCGCCGGCACAAATGTATCGAGAGTAAGGCGGAAGTCTGTCTCCGAGGCTCTCATGTTCAGTCATCAATTTGTTAGACGGAATTCGATCGACTATTTTGTACAAACTTGGGAAACCACCTTGATTGAATGGGTGTTATTGGTGCGGACTATAGCTGTGCCTCCGCATATACCTGTTGTTCAAATCGATATGGAGTCGAGAGCATTGGCTTTGAATCAGGTGATCGCAGGCAAAAGGGATAATCTCCCCTCTGGGTTTGGGTACATCCAACTCTTAGCCCTCCTCAACACACTCGAAAGGCGCATCCGGGAGGCCCGACAGGACCGGTTAATTTCGACCAAATCTGGTCGGCGTGATGACAGCCAGGCCATTGACATGTTTCTACAAGCCAAAGATAGAGTTTTGAATACCAGAACTTCAAGAAACCACGTTTGGAGGCTCAAACAAGCTGCTGAACGATTTAGCGAGCTGACCGGGTCGTCACCCTTGCTCTTGATTATATTCTCGAGAACGGCAGAAATATTTGTGTATGGGTTCAAAAAATTATGTTATGAGCATTGCTAAAGACCACTATTAACATAAAGATAGAAAGAATTTGCACAAAGTCGATAACCCGACTTTCAAAGTACTTGCTGCCGAAGCTCGCAAACACATACCAAGAAAGCTAGTGGATGCGTGTGCGACACTGTCCAAATTCACCGAGACTATATTGGAGTCTGGATCTCCAGTTAACTATAAAGTCACTAGTCGTATTGGGGAGGAAATAAAGCCATACCTTTGTAACTAGAAAATAATTCAACACGCGTATGTCTATACCCTTTGTGTAGTGATATCGCGAAGCGTTCTGCCCACACCTAAGAGACGCCTTTTGGCCAACAGGGCTGGCCTTAGCCAGTAGGCGACCATAGCCAGTAGGTGCGACCATAGCCAGTAGGTGCGACCATAGCCAGTAAGAGGACTGGCCATAGCCATTAGGCAACCATAGCCAGTAGGTCCGACCATAGCCAGGTGCGGCCATATCTACTTGGTACTGTCACCCGATGCACGATTCCCAATGTTGTCACATGTTGATTCTAGGAGCCCAATTGACATAATATAACGCTTTCGGAATATAATGAAGAGAAAACTAGAACGTCGAAGTGATATCACTAGTCAAGAGCCAGAAAATAAACAAAAATTCAATGTCTCATTGCAAAGGCATCTCTCTATCTCCTCCCCCATGCGATTGGCAGTCGCATGTTCCAGCCGCTACCATAGTTTCTGTGACTTGGGACAGTACCATGCAAACACCCACTAAGTTTTCGGTATATGCTTACAGGCATCGGCGGCAAGAACCCTTAAAATAGAAATATCCATCTTGTGTGTGTCCTTCCTATTGAGCTCAGTAGTTGGCGATATGAACAGTCTCCATAACTCACAGAAATCCCTGCTGTCCTTGAAAAGAGCAACAGCAGCAGTACCAACGACCCAACGATATGATACCACTTTCCACCAACATGCTTGAGATGCCAAGTATGGTTTCTTGAAGTTCTAGAATCCAAGGCTCTGTATCAGGAGATGATAAACATGTCGATTGCCTGCGCCTTATGGCTCATGCCTCTTCTGGTCACGATTAGCTTGTTCAGACGGTTTTGACGGACACGTCTTTCAAGTGCGGCCAAAAGCAGTACCAGTTGGACATGGGCAAACCTCGGAGGTAGATTTTTGTCCTTCCCCGAGATAACACGATGCAAGGATAGAACCAGTTCGTTATGCAGGGTAGTTCAAACTGTTTCGGTTCACGGGTTGTGCTTCAGCCCGGCATAGTTCGTTCATTGGATCATTCGCCATAATTTGTTGCATCTTTCCTTCTGAGCTTCACTTTCTGGGATCGAACATAACCGAAACAATACTAATAGGGAGGGCATCGTTCGGGAGCCTTTCATATTAAATCTCAGCTGGTCGTCCAGCCGCCGGGGGTACAATTTAATCCTGCCCATCACATGCTGAAGCCCCCAATCTAGCACCGTCGCGCCCCGGTCACCCGGCGTCCAATCTCCGCCAGACAGCAAAATATTAAAATTAGTACCTCCAAAGTGAAGCATCAACATGTTGCTGCGCTCTGTTCTCCTAGGCGATGTCTTTAGGTGAAGTGCTAGTGAGGTACTACTCAAACCCGGAAACGCACCGTCAGGTCACGACTAAGCAAACATTTCCAGCAAAGTAACAGTTGTTGGGCTGAGCCGCTGCATTGCACCGCTGGAGACCCCAGAGCAGAGAGCTTGCGTTGCAAGGCACTCGCACCGCACCTGGAGGGCGATAGTCATAAAGTTGGCAGGAACACGACATTCTGACTGGGTGGAGGCCGAGAAGACTTATCCAACACCAGCTGCCAAAAGCATTAAATATAAGACACATAGTTTGACGACAAAAGAGAAGCCGGCAGAAGCTGGCCGTCTGCCGCAAACTTCTGCTCGGCGCTAGAAGGTAGTGCTGAGTTGTTGCCATTAACTTTAACATCCCGATGGACTTAAGACCTGTTTGAGTAGCGCCTAATTTCCACCGCCACTGCGACCTGCAAAGAATATTCGTCTTCAGAAATGCTCGTCTGTCAGATAGCAGTTTTTCACGCCATAATTGGTCTTGTATTCTCACACTCGTGGGTGGAGAGACTCATGGTCATTGGCACCAATGGCACAATGATCGGAAACCCAGGCTATATTCGTGGCGCTGTTTCCAGGCTTGATCCAAATTTCAACGACTTTAAAATGCAACATCTCTTGCCAACAAGTACCGAGGGTCTACTTACAGACAAATTGTGCAAGAATACACAGAGAAATAGGACTTATACTACTGATCTTCCGGCACTCCAAGCAGCCCCTGGTGCCTTCATTGCTCTGCAATACCAGGAGAACGGCCATGTCACCTTGCCAGGGCTCACGCCACAAAAGAAGAATAGTGGCACCGTATATGTATACGGCACGTTATATCCTCGCGACGATGAATTACTTTCTTCCATCCATAATATTTGGAATACGGACGGCACCGGTGGCGATGGTCGAGGCAGACTCCTTGCGGTCAGAAGTTTTGATGATGGACAGTGCTATCAAATTAATACTGGTCCACTCTCCATGCAACGACAGGCCAGGTTCCATAAAATTGCAATGAACCCACAAGGTGCCGACCTTTGGTGCCAAAATGACATCCGGCTTCCCGTCAGTATTCCTTTCAGTTGGTACACCCTCTATTGGGTCTGGGATTGGCCGAGTTCTCCGAGTGATCATTTGCCAGGAGGGGAATCGGAGATATATACCAGTTGTGTGGATATAGAAATTCAACCGAGAGTTCAGCTAGATGAAATGAATTTTGTTGATGGACAAGATCTCAATATGGCAGGCATCAAAGAACAGCTAGAGTAGAGAATACATGATAGCGACTTAAGGACCAACCTTGATGGCTGCCAATGCTTCCGTATCGTGTATGATCAGTCCGTCGCTTGCTCCTCGCACTGTTAGTCCAGGAGGCCCCACAAGCCAAGGAGTGGGTAGGTGACCCGTAGGCGCTGAACCGCATCGTACCTGGGACACGATTGTGCGCGTTACGAGGGCGGAAAACTGATCTAATTTTGGCCTTTTGCATGCTAAGAGCGACTGATCGTGTCGAAGGTCAAGCATGATGTGTTTTCTAAAGGCTGCGAGCTTCCCTTGCAATGGTGAGACGCGTCTCACTAAGCGCCGCGCGATCTCCGCCAATCAGCAGGCGGTGCAGCGACATCACCACCGGAACCGCTCGACCTTGCAACTGCATAAAAAGGAGAGTTCCTCCGTCTTCAAGCTCACGCGGTGAGCGTTCAATGATGCCAACGTTACGAAGCCAGCAGCGCCGAGACACAAAAGGGCAGAAACGCGGCGTCGCTTCATCTCCAGACGAAATTACCGAGGACCGCCAGTCCACCCGCCCTTTGAAGAAGCAGAAACGCGGCCATTCATACTTCCCACCTCCCAAATTCTGGGACGGTCTATCGACGATTCCCCTTACTCGTAACGCAATAAGGGAACTGGATCGGCGAAATCAGCTAAGCAGTCATCCTCCTAGTCGCATACAAACACTTCATACGCCTCGACAGCCTCGACAGCCGTCAACCCTTCAGCGCTTTGCAAGACAAGGCGGCCCAGATCTTTCCGCGATAAGAGGCGTTAGTACAGCTCGATATTATATGCAATTTGATGCTAATAGTAATCTAGTGTCAATTCCCAATAGACTTGGGCGGCAATATGAGCTCCAGTCAATCGAGCCTCGGGCGTCGAAAGAGAGGTTCGCAGTCGCCCGTGAAGAGAACCAGCCAATCCTCGTCAAAGACCAACGCGACTCCTAATACTACGAGTACGAGAAGCACTGGTCCATATGATCGTGCATTTCAGCAAAATCTCATCGATCACAATATATTCCCAGATGGTTATGAATATCCAGATGGCGCATTGCCACCAGAGCCTGAGAACATGAACGATATACTGCACGCGATGGCCCAGCCTCGACCGTCTTTATCCCCATCTCGATTCTCCAATGATGATTTCAGAAGGTTTAAAAGAGCAGACACCCATGCGTTTAAAGAGCGTGAAATTACAACAAACGTCATACCTTTGATCGAAGGAACAATCGCAGATAGCAAGTGTGTTGCCGGAGACGTTCCATTTACAAACCTAGACGACTTGACCGACGGCACGATCGTTTCAGGCAAGCCTGACCTGTACCACGGCGCACGGCCCGAACAGCTCGATATCAGAGTTCGCAGAGAGCAAAGCCGTAAGATCAACCCCTCGTCTCAGAGCGATCTTCCAATCCTGGCAAATTTTTTCCTCGAGGCCAAAGGCCCTGATGGAACTCTGTCAGTTGCTTCCCGACAGTCGTGTTATAATGGCGCCCTCGGAGCTAGGGGTATGCTCAGTTTGCAGTCGTATGGCCAGCCGGAGCCCGAGTATGATAACAAGGCATATACAATCTCATCAATATATCATGGAGGCACGCTTAAGATGTATACCAGCCATCCGATACCGCCACGTACACCAGAAGGAAAGCCTGGTTTCGTAACGACACAGATCAAAACGTGGGGCCTTACTGGCGATGCTGATACATTTCGCCAAGGCGCTTCTGCATTCCGCAACGCCAGGGACTGGGAAAAGAACAGAGAGATAATGCCATTCAGCAAGCAAATGAAAGGGCAAAACGAGTGGCGTCGTTCACGGCCAGCGGTTTAGGCCTTGATTTAGCGGATGAAGGGTCTGGCGAGGACACTATTACCACTAGCCAGGAAACCGTTTTAAGACCTCATTCACATTCACACAAATCACGCTCCTATGACTCTGATACATCCGCTGATGAACTGTCGTCAGATCTGGGCAATTGGCTCACTGCTAAGCGTCCTAGGAAGTCAGGGTCCCAATCACCAAGGAAGAAACATTAGGTAGCTGGACACATCTGCTGATGAACTGTCCTTGGATATAGGTGACTGGTCTGTGGCTAAACGGAATAAGTCGCGATCACGGTCGCCACGGAAGAAGCAGTAGGTAGCTGGTGTATCACGGGTTTGTATGGCATTATTTTCAAATAACTAATGGCATGACAATGTAGATTTGGATCTGCTACTCATGCAAGAACCTTGCCAATTGCCTCTGCTTCGGGCTTATTTACCATCATCCCTGTGACCTGCAACGTGTGTCCCAGGTTGCGAACGGACTCGGTAGAAACGTTGCGTATGATGTAGTCCTTGTAGTACTTCTTGCAAATGACAAATATTCTCCTATCTTGTTCGACCATACAGCTCGTCACATTGACTGCTGCCTTACTCATGGGATTACAAGAACTCGCTTCGCGATTTGTGCAGGTAAGAGCAGGATCAGCTAACAACATTACCCCGCTACGGAACAAAAGCCGTCACGCAAGATGTCGTAGAATAGTGTCCTCATCAGAAAGGGGGACAGCATGTAACAAAGTAGTTGTAACTACCCAACACATGTAGGGATGCATAGTCTCTCCGGGTTGTCTTGCAGCATTGTCGCCGATTGTCGAGGATGTAGCGCTACGCTGGACTTCATCGTATAGATTGCCCGAGGTGGAGGCGGCGTGTTATCTTCACGTGACTTAGGCATGGAGTTGATTCCCAACATATTGCGACCTAAAGGCACATGACAAGGAATATACCGCATCCTGCACTTTTTGACACGGCGCGTTTTTACCTTAATGCCTCTTCGATGATCAAGTAGCGGCACTCGGTACTTCTAGCAGCGAAGCTCTGCTCGACCGCCGACGCTTGCAACCATCAAATTTAGTGCCCGAGGACCCTGCTCTTCTATTTCGCTCTATCTGATCCGCGACTGCAAACCACCGATGACACTGAATTGCGTCCATTTATGAACATGGGGCGAAGGTCCGATCCTACAGTTGGCGCGCATCAGAGATTTAATTCAACGCGCCTTTACAAAGTACAGTTATGGCCTGCCTGGGAGTTGATGACCGTGTGTGCGTTTTGGTATTGAAACTAACGTCAACAGCGAAGAATTCTTTCCATTTCCCGAAAACCATGCTGACAATCTTATGATACGTGAAGCATGTCGAAGATAACCAAGATCAAATGGCCACGGATGACCGACGATGATCTAAAGCAACATTGCAGGGAACAGGTAAGGAAGTCTTCATATATTCTGCGAAAGCGAAATTAATAAGACGTTCCTAGTTACAATGCGGCGAGTGCAGCATTACCTGGAGACATGATCTCCCAAAGGGTACACGAATACAGCCTCCCGCGAATACTTTCTTAATTGTTATCGATGTACCCGAAAACAAGGGCGCGATCCGCGTGTTCGATAGCACAGCCGACAAACATCTCGGTACCGTTGGCACCGAAGATGCTGGGTATATGGTCGGGGTGCCCTGGGATATTAACTGGTGGTTCAGAGTCTCAGGTTCATTGAACGTGGGGTATATTATACATCAGGAAGAGAACTGATACCTTTCTATATTTTTGCTCGTTGCATTGCAAAGTGATTTGTCAACTCCGGAGAAATAGGGATAATGACAAAAGAATTAACTGCTTCGGCATATGTATCTATTAGATAAACCCGTCCTACTTCTTGCCCTGAATTTACGATCTCCCGGACATCTTCCCATCCAAGTTCATAAGCATCTCCAGTAAATTGTGAGGCTGCAGTTGCAGCAGCTTCAATACGACGAACTGTCGAAGTGCTAGACAAGGAGGCAGGTTCTCCACGTTGTGAGGCACCTGCAGCCATCTGGCTTGGCTGATGATCTAGTAAGTTAGCACAACGATGACATGGGAGAACTAGAAAGACTCACTTTTGGCTGAGAAAATGCAGGCTATGGTCTCAAGCTCTGTCTTGGCAAACTCTCTCTCCCGTTCTTTCATTTTGACTGGCAGATCGACACGCAGGCGGTCCCTCATGCCAGCTACGGCTGATACACCGAGCCCTGCTGCAGAAATAACGACTCCTGCCGGCCCCATAAATTGTTTGACTCGCAGCAAAAATTCTAGGTACCGCGATTTGTTTGCCTCTCCAGGGCATCCAGGTGGTGGCCGGCCCGCTGCCAACAGTGCGAAGGCGTCGCCTACTCTGGCCTCCTCGGGGTCCTTTAACTTCCCGCGATTCTTTATAGCGATGGAAACATCAACGAGCTTGTCCACTATGTCGATGACTGACGTTAGCTTCTTTTGCGGCATCGTTGACAATGAAACATTCGATCGTGGCGTGAAGGTCGAAAAGAGTCGAGAAGAGTCGGAATCGGTCGCGAATGGTCATAAATAGTCAAAGCTGAAACTGCCCTTTCGGAGTAACAAAGGACCGAATTTTGCCGATTTCGGCTGATTTCGACCAAAATCGACCAAAGTCGGCCAACCACAACGGGGCAGGGCCATCAATACAGGTCTCAAATCACACATTCGAGTGACACTCGCCTACCGGAACGCCTATTCTCCGCATGCCATCTATCAAATTCTATTGTTTTATACGGTAATTTACATGAATGCTACTCTAATGGTGATGTGGCTTGCAGAAAAATTGTTGGTTGCATCAGAAAAGGAGCTTGCTGATCAATTCATGCATGAAAACTAGCCCAGAGGAGCCATCTGCCATCCCAAAGCTGATGTACGGAGAATTCGTGAGGCAAGAGATAAGAGAATTTTGTATATAACGTCCGACTGTATCTGCTGGAGCGGTGAAAATTTAAGGCACAGATTCATACCAGTCTACATTCACTTGTAATCATTCTCTATAACTATTTCACAAATGGCTGAACATACCATACCTCAGACAGAGAAAGGCGAAGAAGTGTACGCCGGCATTAACCCGTCAACCCGTATTTATGATCAAAATGTAGACAGAGGATTGGCACCATCAGCTGGGTAATGATCTATGCTCCTCAGCGTATTATCCGTTGCTGACAAGTAATAGGGATTCTTCAGGGCCCCGATCTGGCAATCCAGAGCACAGGCATACGCCCGGATCCCTTCCAATGGTAGAACAAAACCACATTTCACACTGTGCAGGAAACGGTGAATATGAGTCAATTCCCCTCCCCTAACTGACGCTGATCTTGTTTGGCAGTAAATCAACGCAGCACTGATATTCCAGGTAATGTCTCAGGTCAGTGAAACCAGACGAAATCATTAATTTCATATTTCTAGCTTCAACCTCCCAAGGCTCGCGAGATGAAGGTGTAAATCAGGAAGAGAGCCGCGATGATAGTCTTCACGAACACAAATCCACAACATCGAAAAGTCCTACCTCCCCCCTCTCTGCTACCGACGACAAGACCGAAACAGATGTGACGGATTATGATGATGTAGATGAAGACTCTGGTATGGATATCAACACTGGCCTACCACCGTTTTCAGGGTAAGATTACGGCAACGCAAACGCGTTGCTTGTTGGGCCATGATTTATGGAATATAGAGCTTGGGAATTTTGGCTACTGGTACAGGTCACTCATTCAATTCTACGTACGAATAATACAGGAACAGAATTCCAACTATCGACATTTCTCGTCATGCATGCTCGGGCACTTCGTGTTGTTGTATATTTTGGGCGACCTGTGATTGATTGGACAGCGGACCCAGTTTTTTAAGTCACGCGAGTCTGCATGCGTGATGACGGGATCAAGACTGTTTTCGCTTTGGACAGTCGCTAGTTACGGCAGCCCATCGACACGTATATATAAAGACTAGATGCTCAACAAACTTCTCGTGAAATTTGCAACGAAACAAACACGATGGCTGAAGACAATCGTTACCAACTCCTTGAGCTCGACACGCCGGACGGCCTTCAAGACAATATTGTTAAGAGTCTAGTCGTCCACTCCACAAAGACCGTAGATGAGCGGGGTCGACAGTTATGGATTTACGACGAGACGCTCCCAATCATGATTTACACCAGCATACTGTTGAAAAAGGTAGGCACACACGCCGTTGGATAACAGAACTATGCTAAAGTAGAATAACAATAGGATGCATCTATTAACGATGTTATTGCCAAACGAGGGCTTGCAGTCTGTCCCATGGAAAAGGCTGCAAGAGTCGTGCGTACTGGGGATGGAAATGGTGAATATCATGAGGCGCGCTCCGGCTCTATTGCCATAATCACTCCAATCACGCATGATAAGGTGCCGATTTGGTTGGCAGCAATAGGGGAGCCTTTTTCAGAGAACAAATTTGTCGAAGCTAGTAAAAAGGACAAGCTGGTTATACTTCCAGATACAAAATTCCGTCTTAGAGTACCATATTATCTAATGGTACGGTCGGTGCGAAACGTTTAGGATAGCCGCAATTGAATTCAAAGATCTTCAAATTTATGGTAAACTAGACTTGCAGGGAGACGCCACCACTGGAGGAACCTTGCGCTCCAAAGGAATCCATAGCCATGAGGTTCGCCCAATCGAGAGAAAGTTGCGAGTCGAATTGCGGAAGACGATCATTCGTATCCATGCCTTCGAAATCGATATCTGTCTGAAAGTTAGTCGACCACAATTGCGGTCCAGATTGGGATGCATCAGAATATATTTGAACTGGCTTGGCATACCGAAAAAACCAGGAGGAAATTGCGGATCAAGGGGCGGGAGCCCTTGAAAAATATCCATTCCCCCGGTCAGCGGTGCAGCCTGCCCGCTGGTGTTCTGGTCAAGCAGATCAACTGGCGACACTGGCTGCCGCGAGTCATGATGAAAGCTTGAGCCATCGGATCTCTTGTCCTGTTCATTTCCAGAGGCTCGCTTTCTCTTGACCCCTTGCTTTGACCGGCTGTCTAGTAGCAACATTTCCACTATCATGTAGACCACGTCTGTCGGAGCCGTCAAGAGCTCTTCTTGCGATGATGTTCCATTTAATATCCTTGAGGCGAGCTTTGCCATATCATGCTTTTCCTTATCCCCCTCGAAGCTCTGTAGATACGTTTCCTTGTTGCAAGACATGTACTTCGCAAGCCTCTGGGCATTGTGCAGGATAAAATCCGTCGACTTGTCTGTCGAATTGCTCCCAGACTCGCTATTAGCATAGTCAACATTGTTGTTGTTATCATGACTACCGTCATGACTTCTGGCTTGTTGCGATTGTGCACTAAACTCGTCGAGTATCGTGCTAGGAAGTCTCTCAGTGTAGATGTTTGTAGTGGCGTTTGCGAAAGCAGGAAGCTTTAAGCTCTGGCACAGATCCTCATAACGGCCTTTTTCTCCTTCATACCACCAGTGAAAGGCTACTGGGTTTAACACTGGAATGGCATCTGAAATGGCATCTGCTTCAGTTTCTCTGGCTGTAGCAACGAACCTCCTCAATGACAAATCAATCAGGGCGACAAGTCCATCGTAAAAATACCTTTCGTTATCCGCGCCTTTAATGGCAGTATTCCCAAGCCGCGCTACGCCAAAGCCTCCAACTTTGAAAATTAGCAACGTGGTACCTTATCCTGTTGGTAAGAAAGCTTACCTTCTAGGAAAGTGAATATCGTAATCGCCACACTCCCATAGTATTCAACCAATCTTGAAATCGCTTCTAAGATTCGGTCAAGGGCACGACCACAAAGATATTTGGATCCGTTGTCTCTGGCCTTCCGCGCGTTCTCAAGTTCCGTTATACCCGCTATATAATTTCCCACATTTTTTATAGAAGCCACGCTCAGCTCCAAGTCCTTAGTTTTAGAATTCGTTCTGGCGCATATTTGGTCTATTGGCGTGTTATCCCTCTTCAGTCGCATCCATAGAAGCATGAGCTGGCCAGTTTCGATAGGGTGCTCATTTCTTGCAGACGTATCGAAACATTTTCGGATGGTTCTTAATCTTTTGGCTTGATTTCCTTGAGGCTTACTGACAAGAATTTGTATGCCTCTGGCGAAAGCCTTGGCTGTCGTGAGCATGCGATGCTCCAGACTGCGGTCCTTTTTGATGGCCACTTTCCCGGTGAGGGTTTTTGGGGAGGGCTCGGGTCCTGGTATAGTGGATGGCAATACAGATTCTTCGGTTAAACCTTGTGACACCGAATTTGTTGATGTTGAGGCCGGTAGGAGGGTTGTTGTGGTTGGCCGATGTTGTGAGTCAACCTGCTGTTCAATCACTTCGATATCTCTATTTCAACATTAATCAACTGTCTTGGTTATTGAAGCAAGACGTACAAGTCAGGACCAAACCAACTCCGTGGCTTGAAGATTTTCTCCCTTGTATCATCCTGAGGAGCATCAGGGCTTTGTATGAACAGCTTGAGGCTGCATTTTACGAGTGGAATATCGTCCTGGTCACATAATTGAATGTTGAAATGCTCTCTGATGGTGTGTCCCTGGGCGCTATAAGACCGACGCAACGCCCAGTGGCTGTCAGATTCCTTGTGTTGAACGAAAGAGTTCGCAAAGTCGGCATCATCGAACAACCCATCTCGAAGGTACCTCGCAAGGAGGTCGAGACCACTCATTCTGATCTTTGGACAAAGGATATGAGAGTGAAAATGAATAGAGCATTTTGGGAGCGGACGGCGAGCCTACACTGAAGAAATGTGTAATGACGGGTTTTTCCATTGCCCCGATGTGCGTTCCTTTGATCGGCCTTGTTCATGAACCCAGCTAACATGAAATGTACAGAAGAGCAGGGGATTGTTTTGGTCGCATGGCGGTCGGCCACCATTAGGGGGACGGAGAGGGGGGTGCAGAATGTTTTACACAATCGATTCTGTAAAACATTTTGCACGCCCCTTCTTGGTTGCTTGGTGTTGAACGACCGCAGTCCAACACAACTGCATGTACTAGCAAGGCTTGCATCGTTCAATTTGGAGCCAATGATAGATGCACTACCGATTCCCCGACGCACTAGTAAGGATTGCTGGTCATTACAGCCGTCTGATTTGGCCGTCACGCAATACCAGTGCGACTCTCCTATCGAGGCAAGAGAACTAACCAGTTCGATGGTAGTCAAGAGGGTCGGGTTTGAGCCTGCCAGCGATAGCCCACATGCTCGTTGGATGAGACCTCATCTTCGACCCTGGCCACCGAGAACAATCAAATGGTCGTCTACAGAAGACCTTATAATGAGGCTGTCCCTGCAGCAATGGCGGTGAGCTGGCGGCCATTCCGGAGCAGACGATAAATCCGCGACTAAACACGGAATTTGTGCTAGTTCCTAGCTGCGGTGCTTCAAACCCAGCTCCTATGGCTACCATGGATGCGACAGATTGGGAATCGATAACTGCAAAGGCAATGGGGAAGTCCAACGGCAGGGTGGCTGCTTGGTAGGCGAGTGTCCGAATGCTACTGGTGTCAAAAACGGCAGGACTCTTCGTTATAGTTCCAAAACAGTGGAGGAGAGGCCAAACATGGTGTAGCAAACAGTATGCTATAACAAAATCTCTGTATTCATCCACCGCCTCCTTCAATTCACCCGCTCGTAGACTATTAATCGCGGGCGTCCACAGATGCCAGGCCGTATCTCATGATGCCCATTTCAAAGTGAAACAATCCTCAACGAATTTTTCGCCTCTATGCATCAATTTGGGCACTCCAGCAAATATTATAGTACAGAGCTGTGTGTGAGACCATTACGTATATTGTCGCGTAGGGGAGGTTGGTTTTTTTCTCCTTGTGTTACCTGGCTATAAGATCTCTTTTACTTTTCGTCTGGGGCCTCTCCCGTTTCCTCCAACCCTGACCTGCTGCCCATCAAAGTCTCCTTCATTCTTTTTTTCCCTCCAAAGTCCTCTCAAAGACCAATAAAAATACTGCCAATGCATAAGACAGAGCATAGTATTTGCCTTCACTGCTGCACTGTTTATGATACCGAGGCATGCCGATGCAACGAAGAAGTCAGATGTACACAAAACGTCTTGTTGAAATTCGTATTCGGACCATGCCCCACTTGTGAAGATGTTCTACACATTGATCAGGCAACCAAAGGATCTACGCTCGTTCTGGGTTGGGCTGCCCGTGCCTTCGTGGCAAGCGGTGACGACCTTGATTCCTTCGCCGTTGAAGCTGCGATCGGGATGTCTACGGAAGGCTACTATGCGGACTCGGCCCGATTTAACTTTGAAAAAGAAGTTAAAATTCTTTTGAGAGACCTGCGGCCATCAAGGATTGATCTTCGCCATTGGACCTGGAACAATATTGCCGGAAAATACGACGATGACGAGTGGATAAATCATTTTGTGAATTTTATAATAGAGATTGCACGCAAACCGACCGAGACGTGTCACAGCCGCAGACAAGTTCCTGCTGTTGTAGTCCACAACAATCACATTACGGCTCCTTTTCATACCGGCGCAAGGGCCCCTTGTCATCATCATCTCCTCCAGCTGATACACGCATTATTGAGACCTCTCCCAAGTCAGGAAGTTGACCGAGTCCGAAATGGTATAACGAAAGGGGTAAGAAGGGGTTGAGCAGGGAAATATACGGGAATGGGCCTCATATCCGGCCCTGGCATCAGAGGACAATTGATTGTTGAAGACCTTTGAGTCAACTACTTAAAATGAGGCTGTCGCTGCAGGAATGGCGGGGAGCTGGGGGCCTTTTTATTCATACTTCTCTTCCACCTTTGATATCATGCAGTCACACAAAACTCCAGCCTTGTCTTTAACGCAGCAAATCGGGCTGACAATCTGTTCCATTTTACAGCTCTTGATTCTTAGCACAGCAGCAATATTAAGAAGCCTATTATCTGGACGCTCATCTAAAACTAGTTTCTGGTACTGGACAACTTTATGTACGTTGTATTTTTCCGTTATTGCTGGTTTAGTGGTGGGTGCTGTCTTGATGGTGGCGACATGGTGTGAACTAGGGGAGCATTCGGTGGAATATTGGGCGGATTGCGAGTTATCAGTGATGCTGCTCTGGAGTATGCTATTAGAGGTGAGTATACATTGGCTAGGAAATGGGAAAAATACTGAACCTAATCCAGAGTATTGCATTGGCTGGTCTGACAGCGACGGCTTTTGGGAGAACCAATGCCCAAGGGGTCGTGATGAAGGGAATTCTACTAGCCTTATCACTTACTGGGATCGGGTTGCTATCGGCAGATTTTCAGTTCAGATCGTCGTCGCGACTTTTGCCGATGTCAGCTGTAGCCGCTTTTCGAGGATCTATGATGCTGTCATGTTTCATTTTGCGCCTCGAAGGAGTCAGGCGAGGTAAAAGGGCAAAATGCCAGAACTGGAAGCTTTGGCTTTCTCTGGACATTCGAAGTTGCTTCGAGATCGTCACCTTTGGGCTTTCTTTTCTCTCATTTTACGATGTCTTAGCATCACGCATAAAATATAAACTGGTGAGATGTTCTTCCATCATCAACCTGCATACGCTGACAGGGTAGGTTCAAAACGGAATGTTCACAGTCATCGGAATTGTGAACCTTATCACGGGATTTAGGAGATATCGCCAGTGCAGGAGTGAGGAGAGAGACACCAACAGGCGGCAAATGGCTGGTGAAGATACGACGGATGGAGTTTTACTTTGGAATAGGTCAAAAACAAAAAATACGTCAAGTGATTCTGAGATCGAGCTGGTACCAAAAGATGTTTAGAAGAGGGTGTCGCATATCAAGCCTACCCAAATCCTACCTCCTGAAAAACTGGGACACTGCAGTGGCTGCCTGGCAGGTAGCTGCTACTGCCTGAACTATCAAAGATTTCTTTTGTGTATAAAGAGTTGCACGGTTCCCTTGAAACCCTTGATGGAGTTCTTGCTCCTTAAATAATTCTCATTTAATACAATTGGCGCTTTCGGCGCTATTATACTCGTTCTTTTGTGACTCTTAATTGTCTGACAGGGGGTGATGCTTCTGCATGACAAGCATATTGACATAACTACTGCTCGTTTGCTATTGCCTCATGGAAGCTTGAACCACTCTGTATTGACAGAATAAAAACCGACGTACGTTGACATAAATCATAGAGCACTCATTTCAATTGTACTTAGATGTCTCTTTGTAGTGCATTTTATGGACGTCTAAAAACCTCACTGACCACTTTGAACGCTTCTATAAGAACCTGGAATACACTAATAATTCCGCAAACTTCGGCGCTGGAAAGTAGCTCTGAATGTTCTACACTACTATGCGGCTGTCTTCGTAGGTGCAACCCTGCTGGATACCGGCTAGCCCTCGGCAAGGAAGATCTCGTCTTGTTGCACCACGGAAGTGCCCCTGAACCGGGGAATACAGTTTTGGCAGCCTCATTTACCTAGGCTCAGGTGTTCGTGTTGTTTTTCGACACACGTTGGGCTGCGTACATTGTTCACGTGGAGGCTGATCCATTGTTCCGTAGGATGTATAAGTATGACAGTCCTTCCTTCCGTGGCGGTTCTAACTCAGATCTTCAGATTTTATTCAGGAAGAGCTCATAATAGTGTCCATCGGGCATCCCATACCCTGGTTATATTACATTAAAACACCTCAAAATCAACATTTGAGCAAGACCTGCAGGGTCCGCATTCGTTACTACTATGGTCTACACTGGCAGAAAGCGCAGAATCAAAGTATATCCATTATTCACAGTCGGGGGATTGACTAAACCTTACAACAGCTGAAAGTCTAACATGGAATATATGTAGTGCGAAGGGGCGAAGGCTCGCAGGCTCTGTACCAGACCCAAAACCGATATCGCATTTTGCCACAAGACTGGCGTGGAGTACGCAAGAAAGAAAGGGCAGAAAACCACAATAGTGACCTCGCCCAGCCCAACCACAACACAGGACGTCATTTCATCACCAGATAAGGCGCTTGCGTCATCTCGCAGGGTTTCGAAGGCCTGTACGGGTTGCAGAAAGTTCCGAGTCAAGGTAAATGCACTGCTTGGAGATCAACTAACCTCGTAATAACCGAAGGTCTAACAAGAAGTCTACGTAGTGTGAAAATTCGAGGCCCTGTCAGCAGTGCATCAAGTCTGGGAGAAAATGTACCGCACCCGAAGAAAGGATTGTTACTGGATACGGATATTCGGAATCTTCCGGCAGAAAATTCGCAAAGGATGAACCCCTGAATGCTATATCACAGGATGAGAAAGTTGCCTCATATTCGACACCGAAGGCAGGATCCTTGCAGCTGCGCTCCCCGGACCTTCCCCAGATGCCTCTGCAGGAAAGGGCAATCGCTTACTTTTTGTATCATTATGATCTTGAATCGCCTAGCCAGAACAAAATTGGCGGTATGGGTTTTGTTATCCTACCGAACAGCGACAAGGAATGGGAGCATTACCGACTGGCATTTGAAGCTTGCGCTATGGCGTCGTTCATCAATGAGACGGGCGGTCAGCTTGAATACAAAAGCTTGACTATTGAGACATACAATAAAGCGCTGACGGCGATGCATAGCGCACTTCAAGATCCAGATGTCGTTTGCAAGGATGCAACCTTGGCTGCAGTTTTACTTCTAGCGCTGTTCGAATGCTTAAATCCTACGACTGGGGAGCAAGAAAGCTGGCGCAATCACGTACAGGGTGCTATTGAGTTGGCCCGAGGACGCGGTCGCAAACAGATTGACACCCGAATTGGACAAATGCTATTCAGGGCAACCCGCACTTTAATGGTAAGATTTCCATAAACTTCTCAAGTCCACGGTTTTATCGGGTTGATCTTCAAGTTAACATCGTGATGTAGACTCTCTAATAGCTAACTTGCAACAGGTAATATATAGTCTCGCAACACTAGAAGACGAAAAGGAGAAAGAGCTCTGGTGGTCCGGAGACGATGAATGCACTTCGACCCAAAAGCTTTGCGTTGGAGTGGCTTCGCTTAGCGCGAAGGCTACGGCCCTTCTTCGTCCGTCCGGACATAAAGAGGAAGTCGAAGTCGAAGTCATGCTTAAGCGGTGTCAAGCTCATGATCGAACTTGCAAAGCCAGGTGGGACGAGTTGTCAAAGAGTACACAGGGCATTAGCTCTAACAATACGGACCCCTGGCTGCTGATGCTTCTGAATATGCTGACATGTGCACGAATCCTCCTGAACTCAATCATTATGAGATGCGCGACCTGGACTTACAAGGTCCCCAATTATCAAACCTCTGAAGAGTATGATGGCGCCTGTTCTGCTCTGGCGGAAATTATTCTCCACAGCGCCAAGGTCAACGAACAGCAACTCTGCTGGGCCGGAGAAGCGCAGTCGTCGTTTGCAGAACTCGACGTTCAATTACAGCCTGACCGGGATTCGAGCGGATGCGCCATCAACAAGTGGATAGAAGATAATAGGGACCTCAGGAAAGAGAAGCCATTGGTAGGGTTACAACCGTTAGCCCTTATCTGGTCTTTAAAATGCCTCACCGATGACCAGATAATCGCCGTCGACACCCGATTACAACGCATCCTGGGAATCCGTGGGGCCTTACCACTTCATGACCATAGGGCTAGTATGCCGTCATATCGGTTCACGGTGGAGACGCCATGCTCGTCACCCTACACTAGTGATGCTGCACAGATTTCCGCAAATCCACAACGGATCCTCGCAAGCCTGGCGTGCGAGATTCTGCCCCACATCCCAAACGTACCAAGTACACGGAGGAGGATAGAGATGCTCTTCTTGATCTTTACGAGAAGGGTACCACTTGGCAGGTATTACAAGACCGCTTTCCCGGTCACACTTTACGTTCGTTGAAAAGCCAGGTAAGGGTACTGAGAGAACCTAAATTCTTGTTCACTGACGACGAAGATCGGACTCTTATTCGACTAAGGGAAGAAGAGTGTTTGGAATTTGGAGTCATTGCCCAACAATTACACCACAGGCCAGTCGCGGTGTCGAGGCGGTACAAGCAATTGCGTCCTGGCATTGTAATAAATAGCAGGCCCGTGGACATAGATATCAAGCGGCTTGTTGACTTAAGGAATCAAGGGCACTACTGGACCGACATTCAAGACACCTTTCGCGGTTGCTCTAAAAAGAGGCTTCGAAAGTTGTACTCTGAGTACAAGTCTCACTCCTTAGCTGCCAGCCTTAAGGAGATTAAGGTTCATCCTCAGAATGGGATGTGAAGATAGTAGGAATGAATGGGAAGAAAATTCTAATGAAAAAATTGCAATTATCCAGAGCTTTCTTCGCCAACACGTGTATAACCACAAAGTGATTTACAAGACTGCTCAGGCACATCATCGAGCATGGCACAAGCGAATTGATGACGATTCAAGTTGAGAACAAACTTTAAGACCGAAGCCGCATATACAATCACAAAAGCGCTACAGAAAGCACATCCAGGGAACAGTTCCGGTTTTATGTCATATTTGGGCCTGTAAAACGATTCTAGAGTAGCTTGGGGACAATTAGACAGTATGATATGGCTCTCATACCTTTTCTTGTCAAGTACATTGGATTGTCAAGGATCACCAAAATCGAACAGCAACCCTTATGACTCTAAGAACACGTAAAGTTTCGACAGTAAAGAAGACACAGATCGACGGGATATATGCATGATGATGAGGGGTAGAAATTAAACTAAGCGATGCTATAAAAAGACTCGTTTGCCGTCGCAGTCTCCCCCCATAACTTGACCCCTCAGCATTATCACCATCTGACCTAAAGTCACGAACCAACAATCGCGGAAGGTAATGCGCAGGGGCAAACTGCACCCACGTTTGAGCTTTATGACTGCATGTGTGGCTACTACCTTTTGAGGAAAGTTAACGAGTCATTAGCTTTTGTTGCTACGCCAAAGCCATAAAGGTGAAACTACATACTGTATACAATGCCTATCAACTCCCATCTTTGCTTGCAAGACGCTATCAGTATGGTCCCCCAGAGCAAAACGACAAGCCGAAGAGTTTGCAGAATTTTTAATGTTAATATATACAGAAACAATAAAGCAATACTCGAGTCAAGAACAGGGGGCAGTAATGGTCATACGAAATGAGCCCCTACAAAGTCAATACGCATTCAATGTTGCCGCTAGCATATACGAACCATTCCACGAAGTCTTCGGCCTTACTTGGCGACATCTTCATACTTTAGTGTTTTTGTGGACAATTATTACTTTATTGAGTCAAATATGGCGAACATTCCGACAATCGGGGCAATGTCAGCTACCTCGACCAACCACACAATCGGAACGGC